ATTCCCTATATGTTTATTTATGAATTTGTACTAGGATGGGAAAATGATAATTTGGGATGCTTTTACAACTAACAAGGAGCACGCAGTTACGATGCCAACAACTTGGGTGATGGCATGTGCTTATGCACCTTCAGGGAATTTGGTAGCTTGCGGGTACATAGCTTGTAGATTATAGAAAAGGGAAAATGAACAGAATAATCTCACAGGTCCTATTATTACATTATTTAAAGAATGAAGCTACAGAATGCAATACCTTTTGAAATACCGATTTGAAAATCAAAGTTCCTAATTCCTAAGAAATTTATGAAGGTTCTGATGAAATATAAAAGGTGACTGTTTTTTTATAATATCTAGTTAAGAATATATAGGTCGAGTTATAATAAGCAGCAGATTACATTAAAGATGGTCTAACCTATTATAAACAGATACATTTTTCAAATTTCTAGTTTTTTTGTATGTTTCAACACATTGTATGAAGTTGCTTCGGTTAGTAGATTGTAGAAGTAACTTAATTTTAAATTGAAAGGGGTGTATTTTTAGGAGAGAATTTTTCTGAAAGAAATATTTTTGGTTATCTACTTCTCCATCTCTATACAAAAAAGTATTTTTTTTTTTCTTTCATATAATTCAATATTTATATGAAAGTAGTTGATTCAAGAGGGCTTTTTCTTCTATTTTGTGTCTGAAAGTTACTTCTTTGCATAATTTATACATTTTGTGAAGAGTTTATTTTGAAATTAATTGAATTATTTTTGTCTTTAGAAGTTTCCCACATTAAATAAAATTGTCAATGTATTTGCTAATTTCCAGCATTTCATATCCAATTATGAGAAGTGTTTCATGTGTTATGTTATGTTTATGTTTTTATTAATCTAATACAAAACATATTTCCGCTATCAAAACTACACTATTCTTTAGAGTTTTTCACCACCCAAGTTCATCTACCAGTTGACGCCATATGGAGATAGCTATTCTATTTCTTAAACTAACTTCCCCTTTTTGTATTTAAGGGGTGGACTAACACTTTCGCTTTCAGTCACTCATCAAAAATATTCTGAGAACTAATTAGTGGGAAATTTTCTGGAAAAAATCCAAATATATATAAACATGAGATGATTTATCGGACATATCACTCAAAAAAGTGGAAAACCATAGTCACGTGTTTCAGGCTTTTGGCCCATCATTAGTATGGTGCAGCCAAGTGCACTGATATGCAACACTTGGTTGTCAAAAGAACTACAAATGCACGGAGCCATCAGCAGAAGCCAGTACTGTTACAATATTGTCTTTTCAATTAAAAATTGTATAAAATGATGTATTTTTACGTAAATTCTGTTCGACCTTGATTTCTTGTCCTGTTCAAATGTTAAGAGGAGGGGACTATCCACACTGAATAACCACTTAGACATACAAAATAAATATAACAATTATAAATAGGTATGACAAATGTAAATGTATACACGTATATGAAGGTCATTGTGTATTATCACTTTAGTATTCATCATGTCATGACAAGCATTTTGATAATTCTAAGACAATTTTAAAATTTTTAAATCCTTGATCATATCTATGAAATAAGCTAAATCATTTTATATTTCTTCGTATTCATAAATAATAGAATACTTTGCAGTTAAGGATTTTGGCGTTGACAAAGTTATGTTATTGTTTGCTTGGCAAATTTAATATATTCTGTAACATTTCTATCTCAGAAGTATGTCTCTTTTTGATGATACCAACAGTTTTCATTGTAAATACACAAGATATAGTCAGGATTTGTAAAATAAAAAAAAAAATAGTGATCATTTAATTTGGCATTACTTAAATAGTATAGTTCTTTTTTTTACAATCAAAACTTATTAAATGCCTGTTGCAATAACCCTAGAAAGCAATTCCAATTTTGAAGCAATTTTTTAGTCTATTACTGGTTTTTTTTGCTCTTCAATTTACTGAGATAATATGGATTATCCTAGCTTAACGTTGAGCTATCAAACAAAAAACAAATTATGGTTCATTTTAGGCTCCTTGGACGGAGTGTCCAAGTTTCCAGGTCTATAGGTTTTATGTCTGATGTTTTAACTAGTAGAGATGAGATGAAGTGTTCTAGTTGTCCTCACAGCATATACTTTAGTATGTACTGGCGTATGCACGCTACCTTATCGCTTTTGATAAGGCCTATCACAGTAGTAGACGATATGTCAGGTATAAAAACCGACCAGCAAATCGGGAAAATAGTTTTGACACATGATTTCGGTTTTTTTATTTCATGCTATTTTTTTTTTCATAGTTCTCAAAAGTCTTGACTCAAAATGAATACAACGCCTCAAAAGGTTAAAATTGTGGGTTCGCCTTTAAGCCTCAATGTGCCAAATACATTTCTTGTTATAGGATCGTCTGCAATGTTTGATGTAACCTATTAAAAAAATATAGGATTAATATCTAAATGCTTTATTTCTGGTATTGCTGGATGATCACCTAAATTATACAAGATGGTAAATTGAATTTGGTAGGATTGTGAAATTGAAAATATAATACTTGCATAACTGTTGGAAATTCAAAATAGGCTCAATTTGAATATAGGAATTGTTGAACAATTTTCAAGTAAATTTTCAGAAATAAAAAAACATTATTTTCTTCATCCTATATTCATCCTATATTTCTACAAAATAAATAGGTCATCAATGAAACAAGGGACTCAATTTGTTGGTTGGATGTTCTAAAATTTCCAGTGTTTTGATTTCTCATGTACTTAAATAATATAAACAAATAGTTATTTTTGATTTTACCTCTTCAGTCTCTGCTTGAAGTATCCACTCAAATATTCAAATATACTGGAGCCTAAAATGAGCGTAAAAGCACTGTATATTTGAATTTTTCACGAAAATTAAGGAAGTGTGAAGATTTACCAACACAATATTAAAACTTACATTGAAGTAAAGTCTACTTTTTTCATACTGCAAACACAATTATGGGTATAGAAATTTAAAAATTATAGACCAATATTCTGTAATGTTCGTCACTGCCCCCTTGACTGAACTGTGTAAATATAGTTATAAATTCTTGAGACCGTGAGATTGTTTTTCTCATTTGCCCATATCAGCATTTGTAGTTCTGAGCTTCATTTATTTTTTTTATTAGGGGTTTGGATAATAAGGTAACTGTTTATCCCTTAAGTCTAGACGAAGATGTATCACTACGAAAAAAAACTGTTGGAACTCATACTAGCTACATGAGCTGCTGTATTTTTCCCAATTCAGATCAACAGGTACGAATGCCCACTTTTTAATTGATGATGTTTAGTAGATCAATCCAGTGTTTTTGCAGATTTTGACTGGTAGCGGAGATTCGACGTGTGCTCTATGGGATGTAGAGTCGGGTCAGTTGCTTCAAAGTTTCCATGGACATTCAGCGGATGTCATGGCAATAGATTTGGCCCCTTCTGAAACTGGAAATACATTTGTTTCTGGAGTTAGTATCAAGCAAAAACACTATTATGATCAATTTTTATTTTAGTGCATCAGCTTGTAATGTGTTGTTAGGTATTTAGGCCTTTCAGTTCTGCAAAATACAATAAGTATTTTGTACATTTGGTACAAGATTCGTTTGATAAGATTAGTACTAAAGTCGGTTACAGATTTGGAATGATTTAACATGAACACTGTATTTTTTCAGAGTTGCGATAAAATGATTTTAATTTGGGACATGAGGTCTGGACAATGTGTCCAATCTTTTGAAGGCCACGAATCAGATGTGAATAGTGTGAAATTCCACCCTAGTGGTGACGCTATCGCAACTGGCAGTGATGATGCAACGGTTTGTTTCAATTATTTTTTCTATATTTTTAAGTAGTACGTAATTGTTGAATAGACTATTATTGATATTTTTTATTTTCAGTGCCGGTTGTTTGACTTGAGAGCTGACAGAGAAATAGCAATTTATACTAAGGAGAGCATAATGTTTGGTGTGAATTCTGTTGACTTTTCTGTATCAGGTGAGTTTCAGTTACTTCTCGAGCTCGACAGAAAGAATTTTTTTTCGATATTGAATGTTTCAATAATTAAATTTGAATTTTCTATTGTAGAATTGTGTTGCTTGCAATTCTGACAATGAAACTAATGAATTCATTTAATGGAACTACCAATGAACTGGTAATAAATATGAATTATATAATAATATCGCAGCAGAAACAATTGATAATTTCTTCAACATTCCACTACTAGCCCATTTTTGTGACAAAATAGTGCTCCTGTTATAGGTCTCAGATATATGGTGCAATTTTTGTAATCTAATATAAAATTCATAAACCATTATAGTTTTAGTGGATAATTAATGAATACCAATAATACTGATACATTCAGTGAATATTCATTTATTTATCTACACTATCTAAAGCATTGCCTATTTTTTACAAAATATTTAACAAATTTATACATATGTACTGTAACGATAATCTATAACTATCAGCTAGATGTAAGAAAATATAAAAAAGACAAAAATAAGCCAGTTAATTACAATCTTTTCACAGTATTTTTAAACGATTCCAAAGAATTGAAAATTTCTTAATCTACATTGTATGTGTTTGCAAGTCTCAAAATTCTGCCTATAGACTCATTCTGGCCATAGGTGGTATGATAAAAGGGTACTGTATTACTGGTTCTCTTTGGATCCAAATTTAAAATTATAAGTTCAACGAGTTTCGGGGAATTGATGTTACCATTGATCGTTTTGTAAGTTAGTATAAGATCTGAATCCTTTATGAACCAGAGTAATCAAGTTAAAAATGTCCAATATAATTTTATAGTTATATTCATCAATATGATATTCTAGGTGCAAGGTTTTCCAGAAGTATTTCTTTTAGGAGTGCCACCATATAATTGATTCTGCTAGAACTTTAAAACAATTTTGATATTCAACATAATAACACCATTTTGAGTTATTAGTCGCGTCGTATCCTTTAGATACAACAAGCCATAATGAAGCTTCTCTTTGCAAAGACAGATAGTCAATCGGATCTAATCATCGTGCCAAGCACTATCTAGTATTTTAAAAATCAGTTAGCAAAGTATATCTCAGAAATAGCACAAGCACGATAGCTAATCTGTCATCTTCAAATTGAGAATATTGAATGCACACATATTGGCAGCAGTCTACATAAAATATACATATTCAAAGGAGTGTTGCTAGAAGCCTATGGGTCGACATATTTTATAAGGCTTGAAAGTGCATTGGCATTGTATACCTGGTCAATGTGAGCTCGATATTTTCCATATTTGGCCGCTATTGGGGTATTGATTCCATTCTGGAGAACTTTTCTTCGAATGGTCAAGTGGATATTATCTTGTCCAAGTAATATCATCGGTTGTTTGTCAATTTCAGAGAAAGGAGTTCCTTGGAAATGTGAAAGCCTCTCCCAATCAGTTTATATTATTGGAGAGATGCATTAACGAGACAATATTTTTTTTTTAACATAAGATGAAATTAATTTTTTGGTGATCAATTTGTCGATTATTTGATTTGGATGTCCAGACATAACTTTTCACTTGTGATGCACTATTTGAACCTTTGGTGTAGTAATGAATATTACTTGAATTTTACCTTAACACCAAACCGTTATTTTTAACACCTCGACATGTGTTTCAATCACCAAGTGGGATAAAACTCCGGTAATATTCATGAATTTTCACTATCAATTATCTTATTGTCTGCTTGTTCTCAGAGACGTTGGTGATCTTTTGAATGGTATTTCCTTCTGTCAATATTGTTCATCTTCAGTTTCTGAAGTCGTTGATATACAATAAAAAGGGGGTTGGAGATAATGTGGATCCCTGGGGAACATCAGCGTTGATGGTAAAAGTTTTTGAGATATATCCATCGACGACCACTTGCAGGGAACGTTCTTTCAGGAAGCTGAAGAGCCATTCACAAAAATGATCCGACAAGCCAAAGCATCGAAGTTTGGCCACGAAACCCTCATGCCACACACGGTCAAAGGCCTTGGAAATATCAAGCGCAGCAGCTCTTGATTCTCCATGTTTCTCGATTGCGTTATGCCAAATATGGGTGACATACGATAGAAGGTCGCCTGTTGATCTTTGTTTCCGAAAGCCATATTGCTGATCGCTCAAGATGTTGAAGCCGTCCAAATATTTGATGATATGGTGGTTTACGGCTTTCTCCATGATTTTTTATATCACAGATAGCAAAGCGACTGGTCTATAATTATTTGTAAGATTTTTCTTGCCCTTTTTGGGAATAGACTGAACGCGAACAATCTTCCAACAAGAAGGAAAAACCCGTTTCTTGTAAGACAGGTTGAAAAGTCGGCAAAACACTGATGCGAGTTCATTTGCGCACTTATCGATAAGTAATTTCTGGCATTGTGGGTTCTAGTGTGGGAATAGTGGGTGGTGCCTTTCCCAAAATATCGACTGTGGAGTGGGACGCAAATTGTTCAGGTAGTGAATTTGTTTTTTCTATGGCTGTTGTTGCAATTGAACCATCCGCTTTTGTTAGTGGTGTAATTGTGGATTCTGTAAAGTTCTGATCAACAGCTTCAGCTACCGACCAGAAGGATCTAGACCCGTTGGGATTGGCAAGCAGTTTATCCCTAATTCTCTGATTGTGAAGTTCTTTGCTTTCATTTATCCTAATTTTGCAGCTGTTGGGAGCATTAACAAACCTATTTAGGTTTTCAACAGTTGTCACTGTAGACTAAACACCAAACCGTTATTTTTAACACCTCGATACGTATTTCAATCACCAAGAGATCATCTTCAAGATGAAAATTAAACTTAAAAAGTGGAAGTTATTCTGATGGATGATTCTCAGAAATTTTATTTTTATTTATACTACGTCTTCTCTATACGAAGCCAGGCACAGAAAATGCCTTTTCAACATTTCATCCATCACACATACACTGGGTGTCGGTTCAAAGCTCTGCCATCTGCTATATTATGTCCTACAGACTTATACCCTGAGGCCACATTAGGTACTGAAGGTAGGTATCTCACTCTCTGTACCCCGCTTCTCACTCCAGTTGACACTACACTATGAAAATAAACCATATGACTGAACAAAAGAAGAAGATTATACTAGTTGACGTCTATTTGTATACCTAACCATAACAATTTGAATAAGTGTCAGCATCTTGATTATGACTATGACTATGTAACAGTCTACAATTCGAAATTGGCAAAAAGGGGTTTATTTGTGTTCAGATTGTCTCCCAAACAATATACAATGAAAAGTGGAAAAATGGAATGTTACAGTAGTTGAAGTAAATGTGATAATCTCCGAAACATGGATGCGTGAAGGCGAAGAACTCTTTTATAGTTTCAAGAATCTCAATTCTATTTATTCCTTAAGGTTGAAACGTAGGAGTGACATAGTAATATTTTTGGAAGAAAATATGGATTACGAAATTGTCTTAAAAGATCCTGCATACATTGAAGTAAAAATATCGCAATTTAACATTTTGTTGTGTGATATGTACTGATGGAGAACTCCAAAGCTCTTCTGAAGAGACTTGATGAAAATCTTCAAACATAAATAATACAAAACTGGAATGTTTTGTTTTTGGAGAACTGAATATTAACATTCTGAAGAATGCAAACAAAGTATTTTTGCTACCTGGTCAACCTCTCTTTCAGAAAAAGTGACTCGACTCTGTGAAAAATGAACTTATAGTCACAAGTAAATTTTTCACGCACTATGATATAGTGCGTCAACAGACGAGAAGAATTTGTCTATTGATTACTTCAACAATACACCTAAAATCATTTTAAAAAACCGGGCAGTCCTTCGCGTTACTACTAAAATGTTAGAGCATTATCTGAACCTGGCTCACACTTGAATTTACGGATTGCTGAAAACTTGGGTCTCTCAACTACATTGACTATAAAAGTGACTGCTTTATTGAAACCAGTTTCTTCAGCAGGGATGGGGGTGTATTAATAAACATTAAAAAATCATTTCTCACGCATCTAATTTAGTCTGATCCCTCGATCGAATAATTGTTTTTTTTTCTTCAATAACAAATCTATAATTGTTACCTACTGTATATTTTCCACCCAAATCTATACCTACTTCATATCAATCTTCCTTTGATCAGCTAATCATCATAAGTGAGCAATATGCTAGTGCAACCCTTTTCCTATTTGGTGATTTTAATCTTCCTTCGGCAGTATGGGGTTTAAATGATTATTGCTTCGTTGCTTCTCCTCTGTACCCAGCTATTTAATCTGAGATTGATTCTATTGAAACAATATCCAACATCTGTGTTTTCCTCAATCTTTTCCAGTCCAACAAAATAATAAGGCTGTTGACTGTCCTGTTATTCTTCACTTGAATGTAATTTGCCGTTCAAAAGGGTATTACTATGACTTCTTCTCGTTGACTCAATTATTATTTACTTTGTTCTGCACTTCCCTGAGCTGAAGAAGAAATCAGCTCACAAGAGCGCAAGGTGTCTGGAAAGCTATGCAGCATTTAGTAATTTCAAATCTAGAGGTAAATTTTTAGCAAGACAGTGTTAAGCAAATTGCATCCAAGGCACTGAACATTCTATTATTAATAATGTTAAATCCTTTTGAAAATGTGTAAGCAGCAATGTGTAAGCAAATATAATTCCAGCTAGTTATGGAATCGCTCTGCAGTTGATTCAGTGGAATGTCCACTGCGCCACCTGCAAACAGAGCCAGGAAACAACTCCACAAGCATACTCTGGGGTGGGAGTCGGAATAATGATTAATATTCCGGAGAGGTGCATTATGACTTGCTGTCTAGTCCCCAGGTTTCGTCACGAGTTCTCTCTGAGGTCTCAATCTAAGGAGTAGGCAGATTGAGACCCCGGTGTCTCACACCAATTTCTTGAAAATGGTTCCAAATCGGAGCCGAGTATATATACGAGGGTGGTCTGAAAAGCTTCCGACCTCAATATGAATATAGCATCACTTGCAAATAAAAGCTAGTGAATTTTGTTGTTCATCTGTTGACAGTAACTCACCATTTTGAACACGCAGTTGTTATGTAACAGTCAGTTGAGTGAGTTGATGTATTGAAAATTGACAAAATCGAGTATCGAGCTTTAATTAAATATTTGTTTTTGAAAGGCAATACGCCTACGAAAATCAAAGATGAGTTGGATTCTGGTATGGGGACTCTGCACCGTTATTTACCACAGTGAAATTTTGGGCAGCTGAATTATTTAAATGTGACCGTAAAAGCATGGGAGACGATGAACGTTCAGGACGTCCAAAAACTGCAACTACTGTCGAAAACATCGCCAACTTTCATCAAATGGTGCTAGACGACCGCTGAATTAAAGTGAGAGAGATAACAGAGGTTATGAACATGTCAAAAGAACGTGTTTGTCACTTATTAAATGAACATGTAGGCATGAGAAAACTGTCCTCGCGTTGGGTGGCACGTTTCTCACGTTAAACCAAAAACGTGTTCGAATGAACATTTTCAACGCTCTGTTGACGCAGTTTTGATGCCGATTAATTACTGTAGATGAAACTACGTGGTAGGAGATCATCATGAAAAAAACAGTACATTTCATTTCTCATTTTTCATGAAACTTGGATCCACCATTATACGCCCGACACGAAAATACAGTCCAAACAGTGGACTGCAAATGGGGAACCGGCTCAAAAAAAAAAAAACCAAAAACTGTTTTTACAGCTGGGAAAGTGAAAACGACTGTTTTTGGGATAGTCATAGAGTTATTTTGATCTATTATCTTAAAAAATAAGAAAATCATTACAAGAGCATACTACGCCTCATTACTTGACAAGCTGAAGACAGAGAAAGAAAATCCTGTTTCACCAAGACAACGCACCGTCTCACACCTCAGCGGTTGCCATGGCAAAAATCCACGAATTTCGGCTTGAAATACTTGACCTCATCCACTATATCTAGCTCCAAGTGACTTTTTTTATTCCGTCATCTAAAAATTGTGCTCGATGGACAGATATTTTCGTCAAATGAAGAGGGAATCATCTTCGTGAACAATTATTTTGCTGAGTACTATTTCAACGGGTTACAGAGATGGGAACATCCGTGGGAGAAGTGTGTAGAGTTGAAAGGAGACTACGTTGAAAAATAAAAAAATATGAAAAAATGTCTTGTCTCTTTGTTATTGGTTCTCTGAGTCAGGTCTGAAATCTTCTCCTCATGGTTGAACTTTTCCCTCACCGATATATGTGATGATATTTTGACTGCTATCAAAGAAATAAAATCTAATGCTTTAGGTATTGACAATATAAATATCAAGATGATTTCTTTAGTGATACCACACTGTATTGATGAAGTTAAATATATTTTTAACGAGTCCTTCAGACAGGGTATTTTTCCAGATGTTTGGAAGGTTGATAATATAATTTCAATTCCGAAAAAGAACCTACCACGTTCAGTGACCTTCGCCCATCAGCATTCTACCCTCATTCTCTAAAATATTCGAGAAAAATGTTTCCCGTCAAATAAGAGCTTTTCTCGAAGAAAATCGAATACCCCCGTACGAGCAGTCTGGGTTCCGCAAAAAACACGGAAGACAGACTGCCCTCTTGAAAGTACTCGACGATCTTGAGAGATTCAGAGATCAATCAAAAGTCACCATTTTACTACTGTTTGATCAAAGTAAATCTTTTGATTTGGTTAATTTCGATTCACTCATCAACAAGATCAAGTTCATAGGGTTCGATGACATTTCTCTTGAATGGATGACCAGCTATCTCACAGGCCGATCACAGAGGGTCAACCTGGATGATTATTCATGGTCATCCCTAAAAGAAACAATCTCAGGTGTACCGCAGGGAAGTATTTTAGGACTCTTGATGTTTTCAGTGTTTACTTTTCATTACCCCACTTTCTTATCATATTGTCAAGTTCATCTATACTCAGATGATATCGTATTTGTCTTCTCATAACATTGATACAGAAACTTGTGTGGCCAATATAAACACAGATTTGCACAAAACATTCCTATACTCGGAGAATCATGGACTGAAAATCAATCGAAATAAAACTTTGGCCTTATGCATAGGGTCTCAAAGACAAATAGTAGAAACTCAGTGTAACTTTAGGCTTACCTACTCTCGTTAACGCAGACACTGACTGTAGACAGTGCTAAAAATCTTGGAGTAACCATAGATAGCTGTTTGTCTTTCTATGAACATGTGACAAACATTTTCAAAGTATCATTCTTCAAACTCAAATCGCTATATAAATGCAACTATCAGTTATCAGAAGAAATGAAACTCAGGTTAGTTAAAACTCTTATTTACACCCAACGCCTTCCGGTTCTGATGCAGGTGTTTTCAGTCGCAGAGCCAGGACAGAGTTATCTACCTGCCTAGGAACTTATGCGACTGTATTTCAAGCGGAAATTTACGCTATTGAATTGTGTGCGGA